ACTGGAGATATGGAAAAATCAAATAAAGTCAATTTTGATACAAATGGAACTTTGTGGTCTAAAGTAGTATCAGGAGCTGCCAAAAATGACCAATTACACTATGTAACAAATTTTCGCTTTTGTTCTGTTTCTGGATTGAAAGATTTTCTAACCTGTTAAGTCTAGAGTAGAAAGGAAATTTCCAGAAAAAATTTCCTTCTGTGACTGGGACAATGAAATTTGAAAAATTGCGTGTTTTTGAGAAAATTTTTTATTGCTTTCAATGCAGAGCTTCCCCCTATAACATTCCTGACCTGTTAGAATGTTCAAGAAACTTCCAGAACTTTCTAGAAACTCTCAGAACTTTCTAGAACGTTCTTAAACGTTCTAACAGTAGCTGTACAAGTATAAAAGCCAACATTCTAATTTGTGTTATTCGTGATAATTTGTGTTATTCGTGATAATTTGTGTTATTCGTGATAATTTGTGTTATTCGTGATAATTTGTGTTATTCGTGATAATTTGTGTTATTCGTGATAATTTGTGTTATTCGTGATAATTTGTGTTATTCGTGATAATTTGTGCAGACTGAAAGAATAACGATTTGTAGTTGAAGAAAAGTTATTTATTTGATATTGCAAGAGTTTGTTTGTATCCAGCTAATTCATTCTGCTACATGTGCGGACAATTCATAAAGACAAGAGCAAAAAAATATTCAGTGGAAGCAAGTCTTATAATGTTTGAGGCCTACAAGGTATGCTTTGGTCGGGGACGAAGACAAAGACAAGGTATACTTCGGCGAGCCGGTCGGGGACAAAGACAAATTTTAGACACCGCATTTCACATGCGAAAGAAAACACTTGAAGGTAAATTGAGCAGTTGGAGAAGTTGCTGACTTCACATCCTTGGAATACTAGTAAAGAGATTCTTAGTAAACAAAAAATACATAACAAAATCTTACCAAGAATTATTTCTGCAGATGGCACACATATCTTTGTAACGAGCTTTTCGTCGATACATATATTACTATATTATTATTATAATTAACTTGATGATTCGATTTAAAAAATTAAACACAATTAAAGCAACAGGTTCTGATTCTATTTCAGCTAGCATAATCAAAGATTAAAAATCGCTCAAAACATTTTTGAGCGATTAATTCAAAATATCTAATAAAACTTCTTTAACAAATCGATCAAGATGTTTTTTCAGATAAACTGAAAGTTACAATGATTACATTCGTGTTAAAAACATGAAATGCAAGTCTGGTTACAAATTATCGATTTATTTTGTTACCTGTTTTTTCAAAAATCCTTGAGCGTACATGTATAATAGGTATTTTGCACTTTTGAATGAAAACAATTTTCTCTATTGTAGCCAATGGTTTTTGATCAAATTAATCTACGGAGCATGCGCTTATACAAATAGTTGAAGTTATCAGCGGACCATTTTCTGGTAACAAATTTACTTTAGGTTTATTACTAGACTTGTCAAAAGCATTTGACACCGTTAATCATCAGATTTTACTAAAAAAACTAAAATATTATGGAGTTTGCCATGAATGCCATAATTGGTTTACCAGTTAATAAACTGATCGTAAACAGTTTGTATCTTTAAGATACGGTTTTGAGACAAAAAAAACTTTAAATATTATGCGTGATTCCACAAGGCTCCATCTTAGGCTTCTAGTGTTTTAAATTTCAACGATCAATATACAGCATCAAATACAGTCTACTGTCATTTTGCAGAAGACCTTACTTTATTTTATTCTCACAGTAACATTATACCTCTATTTCAAGTAGCAAACAAAAAACTAAAACAAATATCAAATTGGCTTAACGTTAACAGGGTTAAACGTCTTAAACACTGATAAAACTAAATTCTTCTTATACCGTTCTAACGAAAGTTTCAAAATATTCCTATATCTTTTCATGCTTCCTAAATCTTTTCCGTGCTTCCTATATCCTTTCCATGCTATCTATAAATATATTCCTATATCCTTTCCATGCTATCTATAAATATATTCCTATATCCTTTCCATGCTATCTATAAATATATTCCTATATCCTTTCCATGCTATCTATAAATATATTCCTATATCCTTTCCATGCTATCTATAAATATATTCCTATATTCTTTCCATGCTATCTATAAATATATTCCTATATCCTTTCCATGCTATCTATAAATATATTCCTATATCCTTTCCATGCTATCTATAAATATATATTCCTATATCCTTTCCATGCTATCTATAAATAAATTCCTATATCTTTTCCATGCTATCTATAAATAACATCAAAATTGAGCGCTCAAAATATTATTTTATTATTTTTATTTTTACGTTATTTTACGATCGTATATGTTTCGATATCTAAACTGTTTGTTTTTTTAAGATAATTTCTTTTTTGCAAACTTTATAATTTTTTAAACTTTACGATTTTTTTTTTTTTTTTTTTTTTCAAATTTTTTAGTTTCACTCTTTTGTTTAATATTAGAACTTGTAAAATTATATTTTTCTCTATTTCACGAAGAGGTTTGATGATAATACATTTTGTCTTCTACTTGCCCCAGTCAGATTATAACTATATATATTTATTAGATCTTAAGGATAACATTAAAAATTTTGAGAGCATATTGACGAAATAAAACTAATTAAAAATTCACTTCACAAATAAACCTCTTCTAAGAAGGATGAGGGCTCTTAATATTTATGAATTAAACATATTCAAAGTCATACAATTTATGTTTCAATATCAGTTTTTTAAAATGTATTAATTGGGATGATTTTGGGTACAGAAGTTAAAGCTAACGCAAATTTCTAAGATTTCACACTATAGGTCCAACTAAAAATAATGGTCTATTAAGGTGATCATTCGATTTAGCAATTTTTTTTTATTAATCTGAGGCAGAAGCCTTCAAGACATTTTGAGGGTTGATTTGAACTTGGGAGCTTGTTACATATGATTGCTGTGCAATTCTCTATGGTCGAAAATTTCATGAATTGAAAGCTAGAAATATCGTAAAATATGGGCCAAACAAAAAAAGAAAGGCAAGATAGGTTTTCCACATTGAATCAGGAGGAATGCCAAAAGATGCCAGGCGATGGGTAGCAGACATTTCAGCGCAACAATTCTAATAGATTTTTTTGAAATAAAATGAAGGTCACACCGAAGATTTAGAAAAGGTTCGATTTCTAACTTACTGCCAGTAACAAATATTGGCAAACCCTTAGAACCTTCTAAGGAGAAATAAATCGAGTTTTTGCGTCGTTGACATGTTTTTTAGCGCTTAATGACTTACTTATTATTAAACCAATTATTAAATTCTTCCTGCAATTTATTGGTACCATAGCACTCGACATGATGTAATAGTGAAGTGTTATTGGCGTACAAGTTTAAGAGATTCGTCAAGGATTAAAATACTGTTGACTATCTTGGCGAAGAGAAATTGCCTGAGCACAGAACCTTGTGGATCTTCACTGTGGTAATAGCCCAAGGAAGTTGGAGAAGACACCGGAAGCAACGACCTTTTGAAAACGGTGAAATAAATACAATTTAAACCATCTTAAATTAATGAAACTTTAGTTTAGCAAAGCTTTGGTTGTAGATTAGCGTTAGGGGGTAACCAATACGGTAACGTGATCTCTTATTGTTTTAAGGATAGATAGACATCATCTTTATTAGTCACATAAAATGTGGCAGAATCATAATTGTTGTTAGTGACATCAAATTGATCTATATCTTCTGGCTCGAACACCTTTGCAAAATTTTTTTTTTTTTAATTTATTTATTTTGCCGTTTAAAAAAGATTGACAATGTTAAATAATATAACAAAATAAAATAATTGGCTAGAGCAAGAAGAAGGCATAAATTACCCTTATCACCAAGCCCCATTAAAAACGCTTCAAAAAATCCGAAACATCATACCAAAAAAACAAAAAAAAAAATAATAATAAGTTGCAAGCAGTTAAGAATCAAGAAAGTAATAAAACAACTATAAGAGTTAAAAATTAGATAATAAGTTAAAAATAATATAATATAATAAAATAATGAAAATTACAAAGTTCCCGTTTTGGGTTGTGTAACGTAATTTAAAATTAAAATAAACAAAATTTTTTTCATATCGTCATAAAATATATGGGAAAGCGGAATAGTATCGAAAATTAACTGATCGAAAAAATGATTAGTATCGAAAAATAACTGACCGAAACTCATTTTAATGATTAAGATCGAAAATGTAATTTTCAGATTGATATCGAAAAGTTTTTATATAAAAATTCACAAATTTGGAACAATATCGAAAACAATAAAAACGGAACAAGATCGAAAACTCATTTAACTGATTTTATTTATTTACACTTTTGCCGATAAAAAAAAATTTACAGTCGTAACCACTGATCTCAAAATATAACTGGATAGCGTATACGGCAAATTTTTTGAAGCCAGTTTTGGCCTCCCAAGATGGCGGCGTATTTGTTTATTACAAATTTAGAAATTTTCGTAACGAACTTTTATATCTTTTTTTATATAAAAATAAATGTACAAGTCTCAAATACAAATATAATTTTTGGTTTTACATAGCAACAATATTACATATTTACGTAAATTTCTAAAATATTTATAATATTTTGGTTAACAAAATATACTCTAAACAGTAAGTTTGTCAGTAAGTTTATTTTATTTAATTTCTAAACAGTAAGTAATTTCTAAACAGTAAGTTTGTTTGTCATTAAATCTTTTTTTTTTGTAAAAAATTTGATTAAATAGGATAAAAATTTTTAGTTAAATTAATTAGAAACTAGTTTATTTTAACATTAGTACAGGGTTCATGGCACTCAGGGAAAACCTGGAAAACCAGGGAAAAGTTTTAAAAATTTAAAAAATCAGGGAATACCTGGAAAAGTCAGGGAATATTTGATAAAAATCTGTAAAATCAGGGAAAACTCAGGGAATATTTTTCAGTTTTATATTTAGCTTGAAGTTATTTTGCAAAATACACATTTTGAGTGTTTATTGTTGTTGAAAATTGCTAACTAAAGTGGTTTTTTAACTTTTATATTATATAGTAACTCTATGTTTAGCTAAATGTATAAATAAATATAATAATATAAGACATGACTTCAGAAAAGACTTATTTTCAAGAGAATTGGTTACAACAAGATATTTATAAAGATTGGTTAGTTCCCAACGCACATGCAAAAACTAAAGCTCATTGCAAAAAATGTAAAAAATCATTTGAATTGTCCAATATGGGTATTCAGGCTGTTAAAAGTCATGCAGCAGGTATTTACACTAACTTTTTTAATGTGAGAGTGAGAATTAAAAAGAAATGTTGCTTGATTGATTCATTATTTTATATTTTAATATCAGTTTCAAACACATTGTAATCAACTTTTGATTGCAATCTGTTTCAGTTGTTTTCCTTGTTGGTTGGTTCCTTATATTGTTATTTCAAACTTTGCAAGCTAAACAGATAGAGAAAAAAGATAAAAAATTTTAGACATTTTAAATGTTTCATTATTTATTTATCTTGTTTTAGGTAAGAAGCATCAGTCTGCTACAAAGCCTGTTAGTTGTTTCTTTATTAATGGAAAAGAGTTGCATGCTGAACCACTTGGAAGTGAAGAAAAAATATCTACATTTTCACCAAAAAACAAGCAACTATTGTCTCTTTAATTAAATCATCGTTATCAACTAATGCTGAGATCATATGGGCCCTGAAATCTACAATGAGCTGCTACTCTAATAACTCATGTGCAAATTTAAACGATACTTTTAAAAAGATGTTTCTTGATAGCAAGGTAGCAGAAGATTTCACTATGAGCACCTCAAAAGTATCATACATTGTTAACCATGGACTAGCCCCATACTTCAAGACACTTTTAAAAGAAGAAATCACAAAGTCTGATTGTTACATTGTATCTTTTGATGAGAGTTTAAACAACATAACCTAAACTTGTCTGATGGATCTACTTGTTCGGTATTGGGATGGCAATGACAAAGTTAAAGTGAGGTATTGGACATAAGCATTTCTTGGTCATTCTGCAGCTTCTGACCTTCTTACACATTTCAACGAAAACTTATCAAGTTTTGATTCAAGTAAAATGTATCAAGTTTCCATGGATGGACCCTCTACAAATCTGAAATTTCAACAAAAGGACAACAAGATGCCACAACTTATAAATATTGGAAGTTGTTCTTTGCATGTAATCCATGGTGCTTTCAAAACAGCTATCGAATCAACAACATGGAATATTAAAGAAACTTTAAAAGGGTGTTGGCAAATTCTTCATGATAGCCATCAAGATTATGAAACAGTCACAGGTACAACAAAATACCCTCTTTTTTTTTGCGGAACAAGATGGGTTGAAAGTAAATCTGTTGCAGATTGTTGCATTGAAATCTGGCCTAATATATTTAAGTTGATTGAGTTTTGGGAAAAGTTACCATCTTTGAAACAACCTAAATCAAAAAGCTTTTTAAATGTAAAAAAGGCTGTTAAAGACAAACTTATTATTTTAAAATTTGAAGTTTTCAGCTTTGTTGCAAGCATATTAGAGCCATATTTGTTGGCATACCAAACTGACAAACCAATGATTCCATTCATGTATAGTGACTTAGAAAGACTCTTACGAACCATACACAAGATGTTGTTGATAATAGTTGTATTCAGTCCAACTAAAAGAAGTTGATTTTCATAAAAAAGATAATCTACTTAAAGGAAATCAAACTAGGGTTTGCAGCTGAAACAAGACTGGCTGCTTTACGAAAGAAAGATATAATAACCATTGCTGATATTCAAAGTTTTCACAAAGATTGCACTAACATATATGTTCGATTGATTGAAAAGTTCATGGACCGAACTCCACTAGGATCTATCATTGTACGCAACACTCAGGTTCTTAACCCAAATGCAATGGTAGTAATGACTCAAGAAGATGCTGAGAAGAAGTATAAATCTTTATTGACCCACTTGATTAGCTTGAAATATGTTTCACCAATCTTTTCTGATAAAGCTATAAATCAATTTGCAGATTTCTTTAGAGAATCAAGAGTTTATCAAGACATCTTTTATGAATTCAATCGATAAAGAGATAGCTTAGACGACTTCTATTTTAAAAAATTTAACCTAAATAAATATAAAGCGTTTGCATCGGCTGTTAAAATATTATTAACACAAAGCCATGGACAAGCCTCAGTTGAGAGAGGTTTTAGTATAAATGCCACAGTACTAGAACAGAATTTAAATGAAAAATCAATAACTGCAAGACATTTAGTCAAAGATCATATGCTATCAAATAATCTTCAGCCACATAGTATTGAAATTACAAGCAAAATGATCATCAGCGTAAAATCGGCACACGAAAGATATAGAAGCTACCTAAATTCAATCGCAGACACTAACAAAAAAGAAGCAAGTCAACTGGCAAAAAAAGTTGTTAGCGATGAAATAAAAGATGTTGAAACGAGGCGAGATCAACTGAAGAAAACCAGTGAAATGTTGCAGTTTGATTTTGTATAATTTGTTGAGGAAGCAGAGGAGAAGCAAGATCTAGGGTTAATTTCTAAAGCTAATGCGATGAAACAAAAAAGCAAATGAAAAAAATAAAGAAATAAAGAAATTTGAGCTAGCACTTTGCATCTTAGAGCAAAAAAGAAAGTTGCTAAAATAATATATTTGTTCTCACATGAAGTTTATATTTTGTTAACAAAACACATTAGTTTTTTCAAAACATATATAAATTGTTATTTTTTTAGTATATTTCTTTTAGTTATCAGATTAATATGACTCTGTTTCTTGTTTAAAACACCTTTAACGGATTGCTATAAATTAATTAAAGACAGTCTTTGATTTCTTAAAAAACAGTGATAAAAAGTATTTAGGGAACAAGGATTCAGTTGCTAAAGTATTATATTTTTCAACATTGATAGGCGAAATATTTAGACTTTTCACCGCACGAACTCAGGGAAAAAATACTTGAAAATCAGGGAAAATCAGGGAAAACTCAGGGAAAATGGTTTTTCAAAACTGCCATGAACCCTGTAGTAAAGAGCACACAAAAAAATAGTACCTAAGACCTAGTAGATAAACTACTATGTTACTCTATATAACTAGTGATAACCTATTATTAATAGCTTATTACTAGTTATAACCTATTAGTTGTTAGTTATAACTAGTTATAACCTATTAGTGGAATTAAAATAAGACTCTAGTAGTTATTAACAATTTCTAGACAACTAAAATAAATGTTTGAAATGTAAAAGACTGAAATCATTTTAATCATTTTTTATTTTTATATGATATACAGATAAAAAGTTTATTTATGGTAAAACTAAAATGAAAAGTAAATAAATGGTATATTATAACATTTATTTAGTTTTACCATAAATTAATTGTTTAATATTGCTTTTTATACAATTTATGTACCTTTTAGTTCTTAACTACCCAATGCTGTGTGCTAGAAGGTTAATAACATAACTGCATGGTAGGCAGCTGAATATCTTTTTAAAATAAACTTTTAATTAGTTTTTTAAATAGATATTATAAATTTACAAATGCTGCATGAACTATTAGCTGAGCTCTGTGAGTATACACAACTCAGGGGTTCCTTCTAGAATTTTTTTATATGTAATTATTTGTACATTATTTTATATTTGGTTGTATTCTTCTAAAATCACTACACACATATGTTTGTATATATATATATATATATATATATATATATATATATATATATATATATATATATATATATATATATATATATATATATATATATATATATATATATACATATATACATATTATATACATATTGTATAAATATAATTATATACATTTAATGCAGATTATTTATTTTATATCATTTTAGCTGTTTATCCAGCAATCTATGAAATTTTTTGAATTCAAATAGAATGCTGCAATTTGGAATATCTGCATAATCGTGGTCAATATTACCAAGATTATGTAGATATTTGTGATTATTCCATTTTAATATTGAACGCTCAAGATCATATATATGTGAGATGAAGATATATACGTGGCTGTAAATTGTTGGCAATTGATATTGTTGTTAAACATTCCCGCACAGCTCTAATAAAAAGCTTATATATTTAATAATTTTATGGTTTATAATAATTTTATTTATAATTTTAACCTATATTTCCCACTCAGTTTAGAAATATATCTTAAACAGATTTAATAGCTACCAACTATCCAATAAAACCAGTTTTTAGACCAGACAATAATATAAAAATTTATAAAATTGTTTAACTGCAACATGCATTTAATTAACATAAAAGTCACCAAACTATAGCATATAACCATAATACTTAACAGCAGGTAAACAGTATATATAACTTTAGTTATGAAGATATTTCAAAGAGATGTTTTGATTATTTTTATATTAAAGATTTAATTAATACATTTTTTTCAAACAAATGTATTTTTACATACATTTGCATCCTTATTTGTATTGAGTAATTAAGTAAGAAATGATCATTAACTTTTTATTTCTTTTAAAATTTGTTATAAATAACATAATTCAGACCTGTTTTTTTAACAGTACAAGTGACAATTTATGCAATAATAGCATTCAAGTATAATATAATTCTAGAAGAAACCCTTGAGTTTCTGTGTACTCACAATTCTCAATTAATAGTTCATGCAGCATTTTTACAAATTGGTATCCTGTTACAAAAAATAGAGAATATAAAATTATAGGTAGACATGATTGCTGCTTAACATGCTGTTATGTTATTAACTTTCTAGCATACAGCATTGGGTAGCTAAGAACTAAAAGGTACATAAATTATACATAAAACTAAAATTGTAAATTTTACTAATGCCATTTAATAATAAATTCAATTATAAAAAAAGATAATTCCTTTTTTTTATTATTATTAATTATAAAATTCATTATTTTCTTCTGTTTCTTACAAGTTTACAAAAGTTTAATTTTTTTTTTTTTTTTTTTTTTTTTTGTATTTTGATAAAGTAAAATATAATATATATCGGTTTTACCGCTAGGAACTAAAATCGCCGCCATCTTGAAAGGCCAATTTTGGCTTCAACTTTTTTCGGAAAAAACAATAGAATCCGCTATCCAGTTATATTTTGAGATCAGTGGTCGTAACTTATAAAAAAAAAAAAAAATAATTACATGACCGGGGCTAGAAGAAGACAAGATTAACATCGAAAGTGATTTTCTGATTAATGTCGAAAAGTTTTTATATCGAAATTCACAAATGTGGAACAATATCAAAAACAATAAAAAAGGAATAACATCGAAAACTCATTTTTATGATTAACATCAAAATAAGATTTTCTGATTAATGTCGAAAACAATAAAATCAGAATAAGATCGAAAACTCATTTTAATGATTAACTTCGAAAACGTGATTTTCCGATTAATGTCGAAAACAATAAAAACAGAATAAGATCGAAAACTCATTTTAACGATTAACATTAAAAATAAGATTTTCTGGTTAATGTCAAAAACAATAAAAACGGAATAAGATCGAAAATTTTTAATTGTGAAAAATTCTTTTTAATGATTAACATCAAAAATATGATTTTATGATCACATTTTTATTTTATAAAAAACTAGTATTAGGAGAAAATCTTAAGAAATTTTTAATACAAAGTCACTTTTCAAAAATAAACTTATTTAAGAGTTCGATGAATATTTCCTAACTTTTCACCCTAATATCGCATCAGCTTAACAAAGTTTGCATTACCTACAATGGAGAACAGCAGTTTAAATGAACAGTTAATTTGCACGCGCAATAAATAGTTTAATTTGCACGTGCAATAAAATTCTGTTCGAATTAAAACTTAAAATTTAAGAAACTTTTAAGAAACTCAATATTCTAAAATGTCGTTAGAGAACTTATCAAAAAATTATAATGAAACTGAAGGAGAAAGAAAAAATTCAAATTTTGGTCTGGTAATTTTCTATACACCAAAGACAAACTTTATAAAGACAAACTGCATCTTAAGTGTCACTTTTTTACAAGACTGAACTGCAAGAGCTTTTATACATGAAGATAAACTTCAGGTTACAACTGTTCACAGTTGCAGTTCAAGAGAAACAGACTTTGAAGTGCTGCTTGCTAAAAGTACCATGAAGAAAAAAGCAGAAGCAAAATCTGAAGACCTGCGCTTAATTTTTCAAAACACTTTGAGTGAGTTTCCTGCAGTTGTTTCTGAATCTGTTAGTTTTCGTCAAATTATCCCAAGTCTTCATAAAAGGAGAAGGCTAAATGAGCCTTCAAACCCAAAATCACCTAATGAAGCTGCTGAAGTTCTGAACGACAAAGAGTGCCATCGCTATGAAGACATTTTCCTGGGATCAGTTGCAGAACAGGATAACGTAGCATTGCTGTTTGGGCATATGCTAGTCATCAACAAGGCGAAATCGGCCAAAGTGTGTTTTGTTGATGGAACATTCAGATATTTATACGTATGCATTTAACTTTTTCAAAAAAATATATGTTCTAGAAGAACATATATTTATCTAGGGGGCTGTCCATTAATTACATCAACAAACTTTTGGCTATTTTTACATTACCCCCTCCCCCATGTCAACGATTTGTTAATTTTCCAGAGACACTTTTTTCCCCTATAAAGTTACGTCAATTTTTGATAACCCTTCTCCCCTAAATAAAGACGCTGCGCTAAAAACGCAGGCAAATTTTTCTTTTTTTGAGTAACGAAATTAAAAAAATAAAGCAACATTGTTGATGTCAACTTTACTTGACCTCCTCCCCTCACCCTTAGCAAAAATTTTCAAAAAAATTTAGACACCTTCTTCCTTATTTTTTTAACGTTATTAATGGACAGCCCGTAGACGAAAAAATTGATATATTAAAAACGTTAGGTAGAACACTTTTATTTACAGTTGTAAATTATAGTTACATTTATTGTACTTCCAGCATGACACCACGCATGGAGGAAAGTAAGTGGTATCAGCTCTTGATATTTTCTGTTGAGTATTCAGCAGTACTTGAAGATCCAATTCTAGATGAGGATCAGATGAATTTTGATCCTGATAACCCTCACCTTTGGGGAATATCCAGCTGTATGCGCTTTAAGACATCGAAATCTGAGGCTCTATACAAGCTTGTTTTTTACAAAATAAAAGAAATTTTAGATTTCTCTCCAGTCACCATTATGTCAGATTTTGAACGAGGAATGCTTTAAAAACAACTTTGAGTGAAAGCTTGGTGAATGGTTGCAGGTATAAGTTATTACTTTGTTATTACTTAATTTCCAGTTTCTAAGTTATCCAAGTTTTTCAGAGTTTGTTATCAATTAATGATCTCCTTTAAACCCTTATCTTTAGGTTTCATTTCGAAAATGCAATCACCAAGCAATTAGCAATTCTTGGTCCTCAGAGGGAATACCGCCCCCAAATTCAAGTAAAGAAGTGGGCAAGAAAAGTTTCAGCACTTCCTGCAAACAAGATCTTGGTTGCTTGGGGATCTCGAATTATTGAGATTGCACAATTTAGTCGCGAAATCAAAATCAAACTATTTGCTTTTGAAAGGTATTTTGAGAGTTATTGGCTCAATATAGTGGCCCCAGAAGGATTCAGTGTTTATGGCTTGAACCACAAAACCAATAACAATGCAGAGAGTCTCAATAGACGTTTGAAATCAAACATGGGTGATCGACATAGAGGATTTTAGCAGTTTATGAAATTGCTTAACCAGCATGTAATAGTCCATACAATTCAAGAGCTTCAACAGTGCAATCAACCAGTGACCAACGCGACTATGGTGCAATTGAAAAAATGCGTTATTTTGAGAAAAAACTTCGAGACGGAGTTTGGACAACTGAGAGATTCCTATCAACAGCATCATATCTCTTTCAAAACTTCAAAGTAGTGTAAGATAATTTTCCAAGTTTTTGTATAACACTTCTTATTTATTAACCTTTATCAATTTTTTTACCAAACTAATTAGTTTAACTTTATTTGATAATCTGTTATTTTTCATGAAGTATGGAAAATTGTATTTGAAGTTTTTAAATATTTTTAGTGCTGTAGATGAAAACTCAATGAACGAGGTTGGTGAGAGTCTTCCTTTGCCAACTTCTACTTCAAAAGAGTCACCGAAGTGCGTTGTTTGTACCGTCAATGAACGAAATGCATTAGTAATGCCTTGCAGACATTTTTTGTTTTGTCAGCCCTGCATTCAACAAGTCCAAAAAAGCAACACAGCTCATTGTCCCACTTGCCGAGGACCATCTATAATTGAACCTTTTCAACGATTCAGTAAAATTTTCCCTTTTACCTATATTTTCAAAACTAGAATGTCACACAATTGTTTAAATTTATTTTAAAAAATTTATTATATAAAAGCGGTATAAATTTTTTCCTATTGCTTCGCCTGGAATAAAAAATAATCAATAACGTCATTTTTTAGTTTACATAAATGACTTTAAATTCCATTTGGGCCTACAAGATTTTCCGTAAGTTGGCTTATTGTATTAGTTTCAGTTAAGCAAACCCCATATTACGTTAAGGATAAGTACTAAATAAATTCCATCACCCTAGAAACAATAGTCATTTACATGTTAAAGTTATTGTATAGATAAATGTAGCATAAAATTCTACAGCTGCTTGTCTAGCAAAATTAAATAAGTTTCCTTGAAGCAAGTGACAGTATCAACAAAAGACTTATCGTGAGGGTTACTATGTTACGATTAGCATTTTCCTGTGCACAAGCGTGTTAGAGGCAACTTTTTCCTTTTAACGTTTTTTAACTAGGTTTTAACTTGTCTAGCTAGCTTTTAACTTGTTTAACTAGGTTAAAACTAAGAAGAAGAAAACGAGTGCTAAAAAATTTTTGGCCGGGATCATAACTTGTTACAGTCAGGAAAAAAATATATAGAAATTAAACAAAAAACTATATAATTGGAAAGAGCTTGTCAAAAAGTATGTGAAAACCATATGCTGAAAATATTTCCTTTCCAAGATATAACACCTTATAAATTATATAAAACACAGACCCAGATTTTACAGACCAGCACAAAACAGCTATAAAAAAGGATTTTTCATCCTTAATTTGCTTTATAATAAGTATGCATTTTGTTTAAAGAGTTGCTATTGATATAAATTTTCTATTAAA